CAGCCAAGTCGACGGTGTACATATGCATCGTGAATCCTAATATGCCGCGCTGATGGGTAGGGAGAGCGGACGAGATCTTCTGTCGGCCATCTAATTTGGGTGTTAGCAAACAAGGAATCCAGATTCGTTCGTTTGAGGAGTCGTCTCTCGTCGCCAAGCACCAAATTACTATTGTCTTCTCTGTCTCCCACGAGACGGCGTCTAGCTAAACGGTTTACAGCTCCGCTGCTAGTTACTTGTCATCGAAAAAAGCAACTTGCTTGTCCGATCGCACACCCATTCTTCTGAAGAACATACAATCGAGGTTGGTCTCAGGGAAATAATCGGAAATCACAAGTACCAGGGCAAATCTAGAATAAGATTATTGGGAAAGCTTCTGTTAAACAACAAAACCCCTCACGAACTCCCTCCTTTGGCACGATCTTACCGAATTTCCCCAAACTCTGCGGTCAAGCGGTGGCGCGAAGGAACACATAATGCGCGTAAAAACCAATTACATGCAATCGTATTTCAATACCAAATATGACCCCTTCGCTAGCAGGCAACTACGACCCGTCCATTGTGATTTCCACAAAAAAGATTACGTCCTGGTTAAGTACAAAAAAGTGAACGCCCAGTCTACCTTTGCATTCACAGGGATGACCAAGTCAAAAATTCCACGTCATCAGGCAGGGCACTTTGGAAAAGCCTACCATGTGTTTTGCCGGAGTACAGAATTATTTACTCTACATTTACTATTTACTTACATTTACTCTACATCCAGTCAGCACTGAAGGAAAGGGACGATAAGAGCTGAAATCAAGCTTGCTTAGGCTGACTGCTTGCACGAGCGTTCCAGAGTTTTGTAAACATCTTCCGGCGGTTGCCAAGGTAAGGCCAAAGAGCGAGACGTCCCCATGTATCTCAGCTTTCGTCCTCGTCGGCCTTCTAAACGTCATTCGTGTACGAGTAAAACAGGAGCCATGTAGCCTATAAGAATTACGCCACGCGGATTAATGCGAGCAGGAGAGGGTTATCAAATATGTACGGGATAAAAGGGAATTCATAGTAATGTTAAGATCTTTGGAGATTCGGAAAAAGCCCCAACATTCCGTATGCAACCTTGAAATTATTTTTTATTTTGAACCGTTCCTTTGTGCCAAAAGACTGTCAGTAGTTTTTCTTTAGTGATAGGCAAAGCGAGCCTACTCCGCTAACAAAGGTTTTGCCCCCTCTATTCCCACCGCCTCGTCAGAAAGACTATGGGAACAACCTCACAGACATGGGTGGAGGTCGCCTCCAACGTCATTGACGGAAAGGTTAGAAATGGTGTGCTCAAACACGCTCTCGCTGCCCCTCCACCAATGACGCTAGCAATAACCGCCCGCCTCCAGCCATCGCGCCCACTGCCTTTGAATCTCAACGCATGTTTCAATCCCTCAGTGCGACGACCTTGTTAAAATATTCTACGAGAAATGTTCAGCCTACAAAGCTTGTTACACAAACGGAACTATCGGAGAGAATCACCCGGGCACTTCGGCTCGGCGGGGGCATTTTGCTGATCCGTATCGATACATCCTGTGAAGCTATGCAATAGCCACAGCTTCGTATACCCTTGAAAAGAGTCTACAGACATCACCAGAGTGAGACGAGTAATTTAACATTACTAGCTAAGGGAACTAGCGCAATATGCCTCCCCCTGAGCAGAACAGCGCTAAACATCCTGAAAGCCTAAAATCCATAGCTTTTGAAAGGCCAAATTCTGCTGACTTTTCCATTTTTGATGAGCTTTTTCCTCCACTTCCCTTTTAGAGCATCACTACCATGAAATGAGGTTCCAAAATTAGAACGCATAATTATCAAATTCCGAGCTAATTCAAGACTATCATAAAGACGTGGTGAAAATCACCCTAGTAGAGGCTGAGCGCCGTACGAATGAGAGAGATCCCACAGCTATAATTTAAGACAGCCCATGGCACGCTAGAGACTGAAGAATTCTTCAATCGAAGGTGGGAAAGCGTGTTGAAAAGTTTTTCCCATATTCATAGCGTGCCTTCCAACATGCTAAGACCGGCACTTCCAAGTATCCCAAGAGTTTCAATACAGCGAGTTCTCTCCACCAATAAATTGCAGCCAAACTTCTGCCAGTTCTTCGCATGAACCCCGAGTCCACAGTCGATAATCAACCAGTAAGAAATTCACATCAACTCTCCACTGCAACACTTTCAGCTTTTCAAGGCCACACCCCTCCATTTTCTTCATCGAAACGGTCTCTTTTTTCGTGCCATAATCCACAACCTCGTACCATTTCCTGCAAGAATCCATATACTCCCAGAGAAAAGTTAAAGGACTCACTGTGAGGATCAACAGACTTGAAGTCGAACCATGGCTCAGCGCTATAGGAACCGCCATGTTTCAAGATCGAATGCAGGCCTTCGTGCTGTGCTGAAACAGATTTTCATAAGGCTTAAATAGCAGTGGCCATATAAACGATGAGAACTGAGCACTAAATAATAAGCAAACAATCGCGTTGTTTGCTGGGAGCATAATTATGCCTGGGTGCTTCCTCTGTGCAATATATAGGCAGAAAAGATGGCCAAAAGTAAATTGCAACCCAGAAAAAAATGGGAATCACATCATCGTGAAAGATCTCTCGACAAGGTACAACATCGTCGGGGTAAATCCCATCAGGAGGACCGTACCTTGTCGCAGGAAAAGGGGGCGGGGAGGACCATATTTGATGAGTGGAGGAATGTAAGAAGGAACTACAGACTTTTCACGCGGATGATGGGGCGTGTCAGTGAGCCTGCGTTTGGCGCGCTGACACCCCAATCTCCAACCCCCATTGTAAAAGCTAAGCGACAACAATTGCGGTAAACAATTGTGTAACGATAAAACAGTTATGCCGCTTGCTGAAAGGAAAAAAAGAACGCGCCAGCGCCGCGCTTGACCCCCCCCTCTATAAGCCACTAACTGTAGGACCGGAATTTTTCGAAAAACTACAGTACTTGGCTTCGTTGCGGGATCTGCAATCGTGTTCTCGGCACATTATAAGGCATTTCAAACTGGCTTCATTTCGAAAGCGCATTCTTCTGGACTTGGAGAAGTTGATAAAGGTTTATTAGATTGCGAAGATGAAAATTATGACTTGGACAAAATGTTTTTGCGTTGTTTAGGTTTCACTGCTGAATATATACGCGCAGGCCAATTTTCTACGAGACCAGCTAAGGGTGTTATGTGAGCACTTCATCAGAAGCTTGAGCTTACTCACGGTATGCAGGAGGAAATACTGTATGCTTCCGAAACCGCACACAATTCTACAATTGATAGTTTTTGATTGCTCCATTCAAAGATGCAGTCCTAAGGCTAGGGTTCGTACTCAGTTTGCTATGAGGTCGAGCAGTTTCTATCTTGTTGCTTCGTATGGAAATCTAGATTAACTCCTGAAAAAAGGGAAATGAGTACACGGATACACCACCGTTCATACCACGAGGAATCAGAGCAGAGACCGTTAAAATATTCGCATATTTGGAAGCATTTGCTGCTAGCACCTTGTGAGCCTCTGCTTAATAAAATATCTCAGGACTCTTTAAATACCGATTTTATAGTACTTTGCATCAAGTTGTCTTCAAACTATTCCAAAAGTTTTCCTGTAGCCATGAAGAGATGATATGCCCTAAAACTCATACAAAAAGGCAGAGAGAATGTTTTGATCCAGCATGATCCTCTATTTGACAAATGTCTACCTTCCGTTCTCTCTGAATCGAAAAGAAAGCGCCTGTAAATTTAGGCCAGCATGGAATGCCGGCAATGTGCCACAAGAGTACGGTAGCTGGTCCAACGAAGCTAAGTACGGTAGTTTTTCGAAAAATTCGTCCCACACCTAGTGGCTTATCTCCCCCCCCTTGACACGTCCCACCATCCGCAGCGAACAATACTGAACACTTGTCAGCGTAATACCATAATGCACTACATAGTTTGTATGCATATAAAAGTGGGCGCTAAGGTAGTTGTTGATAGGAGGGCAGGGCATGGCGGATATGGCCCCAACAAAGGCAACCGCGCTTATACAAGATCAGGCAATCTTCAACCAAATTGATATTTATTTTCGGTATTTAGTAATTGGAAGTTATTGGAAAAATAAGTGCTAAGTAAAAGGCTCACAATGTGATGGAGGGTGGTGTGCGTGTGTGGTAAGCTGAAAGCGGACGGTTTCACGAGTTCTTCATTGATGTCTTTTGGCGGAGTTGGCGGACGTGGGTGAATATCGAAGCCGCTCCTGAACTCACTAAACGAAGTGACCTTTATAATTTTAAGCTGTCGCTGAAATTTATATGGATTTTGAATACAGACTTACTCGACTGTGTGGGCGGAGACAGATGCACCATCGACAACACAGAGTCAATGGCACGTCTGACTCCACCCTCATGAACATCGTGGAGTTTAACTTTGAAGAAACTTTAACAAGTCATTCCGCAGCACTTCAAAGCCACGGCGACTGTATCCTCACAAGGACTTCCACGGCGACGGGAGCTCATGCAGAATATACCACATAGCCTGTTCCCCACCTCAAGCGCAACCTCTACCTTTTTGAACCCCTTCCGTTCAACACAGCCCTTCATCTAGCATATCAAACAGGATGTGGTTTCTACATAGTATCGTAGCGCGCGGAGTTGCGACCAACAGCCTTGTTACGGACACCGTGTCAGGCAGACCGGGACTGGCCGCGCACGTCGGTCTCTCTCTCTTGCCTAGCTATTGCTCCACTTCTCTTTCCTATTTAACAAGTGGAGGAGAACAGGCCGCGCGGACCGTGTCCCCCCCCCCACCCTCCCCACCCTCCTCCCGGGCCACACCAGGCACGTCCAGCAGCCGAGCAAGATTGTACTCAAAAATTTAAAGAACCGTAAGGAAGTGGGACACCGATAAGCAAGGAAGATTGTAGGTGCGCCTCAGCTCATGTCAGCAGCGTGTAGTGAGCCTTTTACCTGCTTCATTTTAGAAATCCACTTGGATGAAACTCACTGGATAGGCGAAAGATCCGGCTGTTCATGTTCTGCAACATCATCGTGTGTGGGGTGAGTTGGGAGCGTCTGAAAAGAAAGGATTACAGCGAAATCAATGAAATGCGTTTTTCTCATCATAAGACTAACAAGGGAACTTTCGGATCCCTTTACGAGAAGGTTTGTTGCATGTTGTAGGGTTCTATGGGGATCTACAGAAGCTCACTTTCGCTGTATCTTGAGACCATCTCGGCGGTAAACATTTTTGAACCCTCAGGGAGTGTACAGATGCAAAATCTTGTTACCTAAGGGATTCGAACCATAAGTTCATAACTTAAATTTTTTGGCCGTCCCAAAGGCGCGCAATACCGTGTCAAATCGGTCGTATCAGTCGTTTTCCACCAGATGTTGTCGCTTACCCGCTTCAACAGCTCGTGGAGAACAAGCTCGGGGCGCGTCAACCCCCTCCCCCCTCCAGCCTCACTGGCACGCCCCATCTTCCGCAGCGGACGACTGTACACTTTTGTGGTCCTCGCAGTAATCTCCACAAAATGCAAGACCGCCTTGAAAATGAGCTCTACAACCTAACAGACCACCTTTGTGAGTAAAGTAAATACAGTTTTAATGAACCGCTCCTACAAGGTGCTACTGTCGGGCGACCCTTATGTACGAATCCGATTAGAAGAGAAAAATAGACTGGAGTTGAATATCTACTAGAGAAATCCGTTGGTTCGCAGTCACACCGTCTCAGCTGAGTGGGGAACAGTTTGTGGAGAAGGACATTTACACTGTCATCCTCCACTACATTTTCGGGACCAGTCTCTTGATAGAGTTGGATCCTTTTTAGTTCTGCCTTGGAGTCGCTCTCAGAACGCAACTATACGTCGAAGCTACCTATTTATGCAGTTTGAGTATTTACCGGGCCTAAGCGCTAAGTCTCGCACCTTTGTCGTAAATGCAGGTTGGTATAATTGATCTCACCTCTGCGCTGTTTCCAAGGCTGATCAGTGGGCGGTGGTCAGGAGGGGCTGGATGGCCCCCCCCCCCGGCTGCGTTTCATATCAAACGTGATCGGCGATGATTTAGAAGAAAGAAGCCAGTGGTAGAATACGCGGTGGCTGGGCCGCTCTTCGATCCATGGCTCCAGACACCGCCCCAACTGCGACGACATCAAACCTTTATCAGAGTAGGGTGATACTAGATCACGGGTATCTCTGATCAACATCCTACACTGGCCGTATATAAGACCAGTCTTTGAGTATGGTTCATTCTATTATTATTCATCGCCTTCGGAATAAACCCATTCATCCTCGTCATACGCATTCTGCACATTCGAAGGATTACAACACAGACTGCACTGTCACACTTACAAAACTTAACATTCGATGCCCGCCTGTTGCCATCTTATCATTGAATGTCGAATTCCATATACATGCCAGACAGAAGTTGTTAGATGCATACGCTTTTATTAGGGCGCGCATTTCGAACATGCGTCGTCTTCTTCAGAGGTCGAAGTCCTTTCCTCACAAAGAAGGAGCGTAAGTCACACAATTTTTTCCCAAAGTTGGGATAAAGATAAAAAGATAGTCTTCGGTTGATCAATCCCTTTGGGGGGTGTGGCCGCATTCTACACTCCTTATCCCTGAGACGGAGTAGGCGTGGCTTTTGAGCATGGCATAGGACGGTTTCTCGGATACTTCAATTTGAAACAACTGCTATCTTGTTCTGTGCTATATGTAGACATGATTACGACTGCTCCGAAATGACAATATCTCACGAAAACCTGGGCCGACGCCATTTTAAATCAAGTACGCAGGCCACCGCCTGTTACCCCGATTTGCACCGATTTTCGAGTGTACTTCCATTCAGAGTCGTAGTGGCTTACTGAATGCGAAGCGGCCTATACAGTGACTTTGCAGGGGTCAGCCGATAGTCAGTGTTCTTTTCCTCCTGGACGAATCTGGTACCTATCCTCCCCTTCCAGATGAATCTGGTACCAATTCATGTCCTCAAGGGTAGAAGGCTTGGGTTGGCTGGAAAATTCGAACCTGGACCGGCGATGTGCATAAGCGGCGCCACTTGTTATTTAACACCATCTCCGCCTCTTCCTAAAATTACTAGCACGAATAAACAACATTACTACGTTCTTGCAGGTCTACGCTTATGGACTTCGGACCTCTGAAGAAGATGAGAAGATCCTAAGGTTGGGCAATTCTCCCGATTCCGCAACTCGCGAATTTGTCAATTCTTCAATTTCGCAAGTTATGAACGAACGACAACTCGAAGCCGGCCAGAGAATATAAGGAAATGGTTCTGTCAAAACACGGACGAGGACACAAGCAATTACGCTCGGCGTTTAAATCAAGTCACAAAATTTACAGAAAGAACCAAGCTCAACTCACTTCGGGTACTTCGGGTATCGTAAGGGGTCCACGACGATTGAATGTTGACTCGTCTGCTTCCGGTGTTTGCACCCTACGGAAGATGCCTGGCTCATCTGCAATCGGATATCCTGAAAACCAATACCGCGATATTCCTGAACGTTTCAAATTGTAGCGATAGTAGCTTCTTCTTTGTCGCAGTCCAAAGCGCAAGGGAATAGCAGAGCGGTGTTAGTCGTCGTAAGAATAGGCTCCAGCAGCAGCATCTGTTAGCTTGGTTAATTTCAGACACTTTCACCTTGATAGAGCTCCTTACGTTCATCTTTGTGTTCATGCTCGTGTTCGTCTCTATGAGGATGTTCCTCTCTGTGATGATGTTCTTCTTTGTGCTCCTGCTCGGGTCTGTACTCATCAGTCTCCTGCATTCGATGTAGGACCTCGTCAACATCGCCATGCACTTCGGCTACCTGATCCTCAATCAGCTGATCCAGTGGCACACCTCCACGTCCAACGGGTTCAAATGGTGCATCTAAAACTCACAACACAACACTTACACTATAAGGAGCTCAGTGATTTGTATCATTATTAGCATTGGTCATTTTTTCAACAGGCGCTAGGATTCTCCAGAGAAACTTTTGAGGCAAGTGGCACGATAAATAGAGGCAAGTGGCACGAGACGTGCGGGTGAATAAGGCTGAGCACCAAAAAAATATTGTGCCACATAAGGGGAACCACGCCGGCCGCGTCTCTGCATTATTTCTCGAAAGACTTAGCCTAGACCATAGAGGAGGGGTTGTACCGCATAGACGACAATGTCTTCACCAAGCGTGAACGCTGATTACGGGCAGGGTAGAGCATCGTTGTGTGAAAACATAGGGGTCGCACTTGGCCGCTGAGGGGGGGGGTCCTATTCGATCGTCGTTGGGAGAGGGGAGGGGTCGTTTGGTGGCTTTGAGAGGAGTTTGCCGCGTTAGTGGAAAATTTTTTTCGGTTGGTGAGTTTTCGCGGTTTTTCTCGTCTTACATGGGCTATATACCCCTTCCCCCGCTCAACGGAAAATTTTTGCTGGTAGGAAAGTGGGAACTTGTAGGAGAGTGGGTAGGTAGGTGTGGGGGAAGGGGGGCGTAGAGGCCCTCTTTAGGCGGGAGGTGGGTCGTATCGAGACCTTCCCTCGAGAGGGGTCGTACTGACACAGCCATCTCTCCATTACGATGCGTTAGAGAGAGAGGGAGGCAAAGTCGCCGGGGAGTGGTCCTCCCCTCCCCCTCCTAAATAAGAGCCGCCCTTTCCTGAACAAACTTCCAGTAAGGAGCAGGGCCTGCACCAATAAAACATTGTTGAACGGGCTGTCAGACCACACTTTCTGACCGGTTCTAGGCAATTCACTCGGACGGCTTAAGTGACATAAGTGAAGTGCCAAGTACATTTTCTTTAAACCTCAAAACCGGTCCAGTGAGAAAACTTAGAAACTCGAAAACAACAAACCGTCTTTTATGTGATGGAACGTGTCAAAGGATTGTGGTGATGGCGGTTGCGGTGCTGATACAACCGGTTTTGGATCCTGAAAATAAGTAAAAAACCGTCAATTTGAACAAAATCGGTTACTAGGTTGAGAAAAATGTAAAACAGCGAAAATGCTAAGAGGGCCACTGCCAATGCAAAAAGTAACCGTTGCTGTCAAAATGAAATTGTTTTGAAGTCACGAGTTGCTGCTGGTGCTAATAAGAGCTGCCAAGTGAGGTTAAAATTATGTAGATGCGAGTCAGAAGATCCCAGTTGAGCGCTTTGCAGTGCCTCATGTACTGCCAGCATTCGCACTAGGACCTAATTGGTTCAATGCGAATAGGCTACAGAAAGCCGAGTTACCTTTCAAGACATACCGAG